TTTGGTAGAATTGGGGAGCTAACCACCATATATGAGCTATGAAGCAATGGAATCTTCATTTGGGTCCTCTATGTATTGGTCTTATCTAAACCCTAGCCTGGGGCTAGTGGGTTTAGGGGACCATCTACATGAGCCACCCAAAAGATCAAGGAACCAACAAGGGACCAAAGTCATGAAAATTTGGGTTTAGGGTTGTGAGTGATTATGGGTGAGGGTGAGTGCAAGTGAGTGTCTTAGCCCTAGACAAACACCCAGGGTCAACCTTAAAGTCCAATAGTCCTATGAGAACTCTCCTCGAGCTCCCTCATAGTGACCCCACCTATTAAGTGCTAGAGGTTAGGACCAATATGTAAAGCTTCAAGCTGAGCAAGGAGGAGTGTAGAATTTCTAATGGTGAGGATTCATTTTCTAGTTTTCTAAGAATAATCAACAGGAAAGTCCTATGGCTAGACCCTAGGCTACTAAAGAGGAAAACTAAACCTCAACAAAAAGTGAGGTCAACAGTAAGTTTAGATATATGGTCTAAAGATAAATTATGGAATGGCTTATAAGACTTAACACATATGATACCTCTTGAAGAAAGAATTTTTATTAGAGGAGATTTAAATGGACATGTTGGTAGAGTGGTTGAAGATTTAAAAAATATTCATGTTGGCTACGGTTTTGGAGTGACTAATGAAAAAGATAGTCATTTTAGATTTTACTTTAAATACTTTATTCAAGAAAAGAGATGAACATCTTATCACTTATAAGAATGGATCTAATAAAACACAAATTGATTACTTTCTTATAAGAAGAAGAGATTGTCGAGATTGTAAAGATTGTAAGGTCATTCTAAATGAGGATTTAAGTACCCAACATCAATTATTAGTTATAGATTTTAAAATAAAGAGTTGTAAAATAGAGAATACTAGGGCTCATCATCATAGAATTAGATGGGAGAACCTAAAAAACACAAATAAAATTTTTTATATGATTAAAATTCAAGATTTCGAAATTTGGGATGTTCATGAAGAAGCAAATGTTATGTGGGATAAAGTAACAAATAATATTAAACAAGTCGTAAAAGATACACTTGGAGAATAAAAAAAAAGTTTTAATAAATAAAAATAGTTGTTGGTGGAATAATAATGTGCAAAAGAATATAAAATATAAGAATTTATGTTATAAAAATTACTTTAACTATAAAAGTTTAGAGAATTGAGAAATCAAACAACACGCAGAGAGTCTAAAAGAACAATCTGTGATGCTAAAAATTATGCTTTTAGTGATTGTTATAATAGATTAGATACAAATGAGGGTGAAAATTATATGTATAAACTAGCAAAACAAAGATATAAGAAAAGTAAAGATTTAACTCAAGTAAAGTGTATTAAAGATGAAAATCAAAAAATGCTTTTCTTAAAAAAGATATTCAACTTAGGTGGGTGAATTATTTTGATAAACTTTTTAATGAATTTTTTGAAAAATACAATCAACCTTAGTGATCTTAATATCATTATTAATAATAAAATGTTTCATTTTTACCGTCGCATTAGTAAAAAAGAAGTTGAGGAGGCTTTAAAGAAAACCAAGGGTAGAAAGTCTATCAGACCTGATGATATCCCAATTGAAGTGTGGAAATATTTTGGTAATTTGGGAGTTTCTTGGCTTACTAAACTCTTAAATATTATTTTAAAAACTAAAAAGATGCCTGAGGAGTGGAGGAAGAGTATTTTGGTCCCCATTTTTAAGAATAAAGGAGATGCACAAGAGTGTGCCAATTATAGAGGAATTAAGTTGATGTGTCATTCTTTAAAATTATGGGAGAGGGTAATTGAACATAGGCTAAGACTTATTACAAAGATTTCTCATAATCAATTTTGATTTATGCCAGGTAGGTCTACTATGGAAGCTATACATTTATTGAGAGGTTTGATGGATAAGTTCATAAATAGTAAAGAGGATCTACATTTGATTTTTATTGATTTAAAAAAGCGCTCAAGATAGGGTTTCAAGAGATATCCTTTGGAAAGTTCTTGAAAGAAAGGTGTTGATATGACTTATATTCAAGTCATTAAAGATATGTATGCTAGAGCAGATATGTATGCTAGAGCTATGCTAGAGCTATTACTTGTGTTTGAATTGAAGGAGGATTGACCAAATATTTTCCTATTTCTGTTGGATTATAACAAGGACCAACTTTAAGCTAGTATCCTTTTGCTTTAATTATGGATGGTCTTACTAGACATTTACGTGAGGATGTACCTTGGTGCATGGTTTTTGCCGATGACATCCTTCTTGTGGATAAGATGAGAGAAAAAACCTAGAAAAAACTTGAATTATGGAGGTCTACATTGAAGTCTAAAGGCCTTCATTTGAGTAGAACTAAAGCTGAAAACACTGTAATTTTAGTAGGAGTAGTTCTAGTGACAAAAATGTAATTTTGGGTGATCAAATTATTAAAAGGTGTTAACGATTTAGATCTCTCAGGCCTGTTGTTCAAAGTGATGGTGATATAGATGGTGATGTTAATAGTAGAGATCAAGTTGGTTAGCTGAAGTGGAGGAATGCTTCAGGCATTTTGTGTTTTTGTGTGATAGAAAAGTTGATAGAAAAGTACCGCTTAGATAGAAAGGAAAATTTTATAAGACGGTGGTGAGGCCTGCAATGCTCTATGGAGATGCATAATGCTAAGTTAAGTGTTGCAGAGATTAGAATGATTAGGTGGATGAGTGGTTTTATACTTAGAGAAAAAATGCAAAATGATTATATTCGTGATAGGTTGGTATAGCCTCAGTGACAGATAAAATTAGAGAAAGTTGTCTTAGATGGTTTGGTCACATTAAATATTGACCATCTTATGATCCAATTAGGAGAGTAGATGTTTTAGATTCAACTTAAGTTAAGAAAGGCAGAGGTAGACCTAGGAAGACTTGGGCTTATTGTATAAAAAATGATCTTAATTTATTAGAACTAAATGAAAATATGACACTAAATAGGAAACAATGGAGAAAAAAGATTAATGTAGCTGACCCCATCACAATGGAGAAAAAAGATTAATGTAGCCGACCCCATGTAATGGGATTAAAGCTTTGTTGTTGTATCAATCTCTCTATCTCCGACGTGAGAAGACTCTCGTTAATGGGCAATAGGACCATCGACTAGCTGACCTTGCCGACCAAAGGTCGAAGAACCGTACCTTCACACAACTGAATTTGGGTCACTCTAGCCGCTTGCTCTTGTTAAGTTGTCGATGGATGAATCGTCCTATGGAGGATCAAATCTAGGGCAAGGACTAGAGCACTAATGATGTGCACCTCAAACCTACCCCCACCTCACAGAGTGGCAATGAGTCAGACAACTCGACTGTCTCCCTTTGCTTCTTCAATACTGTTTCTTTAACCAATTAGTTCCACTCACAAGATCTCTTCTCCTGACCTCTTTTAGTTGACAAACATTCTTCCACCTCTCAACCTCTTTCTTCACCTTTTAAATGGCTGAGTAATCTCAGGCCTCTTCATCTTTTCACCCATGGGAGGGCATAATTATCAGTCGAACACCCAAAGGCCATCAACATAGCTTCCTCATTTGTTGGTCATTTTTCGCTCGCCATCACTGTCTTCTGTTAAATCTAACTGGAGAGTAGAAAATCCAAAATTGGTGTTGGAAAAGTGCTGATCACACCAGATTTATAGGGAATACCAACACAAAAAATCCGGGAAGTTCAATTATTAGAAATACTTATTGTGCAATAGATAAATAAGTTTTTTCATTTAATATTCTTCTTCTTATTACAGTTATCACTTTAAAAAAAAGTAAGAGAATCGGGGAAATAAATATATAAATAAAAAATATTACTGCACAAATCTCAAGGAAATCCAACGAATCTCGTTAATAAGTTACCAAAGAACTGCATTAGAATAGTCGAAAAATAGAGGCGTCAATCATCTTTTTATTCTGTCAGAATCATGGGTCAATGAAAGAAAATACATCCAAGCAAAGGAACATTATGCATATGATAGGAGGGAAAGTCACATGTAATAAACTCCATCAGCGAATTATGGGATCCTTCACAAAAAAAACCAATGGTCGCTCCCTCTAACATCTTTCCAATCCTGTACGAAGACCACTTGTTTGAAAGAGAGTTGTCCATTGAATTACTGTCACACACCCTTTGCTTGATGATATAAGTTCATTCTAACAATAAGAATGTCTCTACGCGGGGTTCTCTCGAGAAGACCGACCGACATTCCAGCTAATCGATGAACTTTCAGCCGACCGAAGGCCTTACAACCGACCAAACGATTATCAGATGACTGAATGCCAACATCAGTGGTTCATTAATACTCCACTTCAAACAGTTATGAATTTGAAACAGTAACAACGATAGTTACAAGTATTAAAGAATCTTAGAATCTGTTACAAATATGTAAATGCGTAACGGTGCACTAATTACTTGTAACATTTCTATTAAGACAGAAACAAATATGTAACGTACGAGATACCTCATATGATTTATAAATAGAGGGCTAACTTATTCAAGAAATGACATCTAACTATATTATAAGATAACTTGTGTTATTCTGTACTCAACTTTTTTTTCTCTCTCTATTCATTTATCCGTCCAATACTCTATTTCTTGAATGTGATCCACAAGATATTTTTGAATTCCACAACCGGTCCACAATATCATAGTGAGCATGACACATAATATTGTTTAAGCAAATAATAATATATAATATTCACGTGCACACACACAAACTAGTTAATTTATTTTTTTGAAATCTTTAATGACAAAAATATCCCGCGGTAGTGGCATCCTCCACAGTTCGTCTGCTTTGCGGAAATCTAGGTTAACATTCATGGCTGCCACTTTCGTAGGCCTTCAGGCGATTCCAACCTCGCGAATTCCCTCGACAAAGGCGATCAACTTGTCAGATAGCCCCCGGAATTTGGGGTTTCGCCGACGGCATCGCGCTTGCAGATGGAAAGCTATGGTTCA